GGGGCGGTGAGGGACGCGGAGCGGCGCAGGGTGCTGGGCGCGGCGAGGGGGGAAGCAGGGGCACGCGCCCCTGTTCGCGGCCAGGCGGCGACAGATGCGCGAGGCGCACACCCAGGCGCGTGCGTCCGAGAGGGGGGTTGGGCCCGGGGACGCCTGAGCCTCCCAGTTGGCGCAACTCGCGCCCGTCGCATCCCTCGGCTCCCCTTGACCGCTGCGACGGCGGCGAGCGCTGGCCGCGGCAGCTGCCCGCCGGCCGCCGGCTGGCCGCCTCTGGCGCCGACCCGCCCGCCTGGCACGCGCTCAGGATGGGACCACTGGATGACATCATCCCCCCCTTTTGTTCCTCGTCACAGCAACAAGCCAGCAAGCCCTGCCACCAGCCGCCCTGACGCTCCGTCGAGCGAGCAGATCACCGCCGCACCAAAAAAATCGTCCCGAGGCCCCCCATCGCCCCCACCTGTAATCATGGCTTCGTTGATGTAGGAGCAGCCCTCCAGCACCTCCCCGTCCGCGGGGATGCGCCAGCCGGGCAGCACCTGTGGGCGGCGAGTGGGGGCAGCGGGGGTAGACGGTTCGGCCGGGGATGCGGGGCGAAAGGGGGGCACAGGCGCCAGGAGAAGCGACGGTCGCTACAGACGCAAACGCTGCCTGTCCAAATGCATTGACGCCTTGCAGAATGCACCTAGATGACACCACTTGGTGATGCATACATACACACACACGCACATAAACATGCACGACATGATATCACATTCGTCTGTGCATCTGATCAGATGTGTGTACGTATCCAGGCCCCGCAGCAAACCCCCGCGCGCACCTTGAGCACGTCCCCCTTGTGCACCATCGCGGTGGCCACCTCGCGCGTCCCCGCGACGCCCCCCTCCTCGTCCAGTTCGCACAGCAGCGCCGACTCAGGGGTCAGCGCCAGCAGCGCCTGGGGGGTGCGACCGGGGTGATTGAGGGCGGTGGGTTAGACGGGAGGGATGGGGGTGGTGTTCGATGGCATTGGAAGCCTGTGAGACATGAGGTTGGGGTGATGGAGGAGCCCAAAGCTAGAAGGGGTGATGCGTGGCAGGTGCACGCCCACACACACACAACCCACGCAAACACAAACAAACCCAAGATGCACGTGCTCGCGCATACACCACAACTGATAATCAACCAAGGTGTCAACCGCACCACCACTGCTTGACAAATCATTGAACACGACACGCGACCAACGACCGATCTGTGCGCGCATCAACACACACACGCGTGCGCGCGCCACACGCGCACCTTGATGGCCTCTGATGTGCGGCCCTTTGCGCTGCACTCCAGGTACTTTCCCAGCACCACCACGGTGATGAGGATAGCGCACGTCTCGAAAAAATCCTGCGGGTCAGGGTTTTGGAAGTCGAGGGGGCGTGGCGGGGGTTGGGGTGCTGAGTTGGGGCCGAGCTCCGGGTGACCGGCGGAGGAGGCGTCGGGTGTAGCGGCGCCGACATGCGGCTGCGTGCGCATGGCTCGCCGCGAGGAGAGGGGGCGAGGCAGCTGGTGCTGCGGCCTGGCGGCCTGAACAACCCGAACAAGCCAGCTCACAATCCCTGGGAGCGCACAACCTTTCCGCAGCACGCGCAACACACACATCACGCATGGGGATGCTGCCTGCACACACACACACACACACACACTCGCGCGCGCGCGCGCGTACATGCACATGTGCACATGCTCGCGTCGACACCAACACACACCCAGCACATACATCACACACGAGAGCACACAGACACACATGCCCTCACACCATGACGCGCACGCACCACCCACCGTGGGCAGGTTCCTGCCACCTTCCCGCCCAAACTTGTGGCGAGCGATGAAGCCTTCGGCCACGGCGATGAGCGAATACACGTACGAAGCGTTGGTGCCAAGTGACACCAGCACGTCCATGTTGGCGCCCCCGCGCCGCAGCGCCTTCCAGGCCCCGCGGTGGAAGCGCCAGCCGACGACAAACTGAGGGGGCCGGCGGGCCGGCCGACAGGGCAGGATTGCGTCAATGCGAAGCCCTTTCAAAGTGAGGCGGGGGCCGGCCGGCTGGGGTACTGAGATACGAGCATCACGTTGATGCTGTGGATGTGTCAGTCAGAGCAGTGGCGCGGACACAAGGCGAAGGGCAGTCTGTGCATTGGTGGGCGGCTGTAGGGGGGGTCGATAGGTCAGGCGTCGCACCTGGACGGGTGTTGTAAGCACAAGCTTGAGCAGATGGTCAATGGGAAAGCCGAGCACCAGGGTCCGCGTCAGGAATGAGTGGCCCATGCCTGGCAGCGGCGGCGCAGAAGGGAGAGGACAGCAAAGGGTTGAGAAGAATCAGCAGAGACCACTGGCCGCCAACCAGTGAGCACGCCTGGCGGGGGACACGGCGCGCTGCATACAGCAGACAATCAAGGGGCCCCTGCAAGCCCTTCCAATCGTCATTGTGGCTCCCACGCCGCGCGAGCCTCGGGACGGCGGCAGCACTGGCGGCACGCTGCTGCTGCTGCTGCTGCTGCTGCTGCTGCTGCTGCTGCTGCTGCTGCTGCTGCTGCTGCGGCTGCGGCGGCGGCCGCTCACCCAGCATGGGCAGGACCATCGAAATGAAGAAGAGCGGCGCGGTGAACGCGACGCTCCAGCGAAGCAGCCGCCCCCACTCCGCCAGCTCCCCGCGCTGCGCCGCGCCCGCCTCGTCAGCAGCGCCGTCGGCCGCGGCGAGCGCGGCAACAAAGCCGGCGGCCTCGATCGCAGCGATGAAGTCGCGGGGGCCAGTGACGTTGGGGTCGAACGACACCTGCGAACGGAATGCGGGCGGGCGGGGTTGCGCACAGGCGGGCCAACACGCTTTGTGAGAGTTTTTGTTTAAGTGCTTCAAATAAGCCCATGCAGGAGCCACGGCTGAGCCTCAGAAGGGCGGGCAGCACCGGCGCCGCGCCCAAATAAGAGTGGACGGAGCCTTGCGTTTGAATGCATGCACGCCGGGCGCACGGCGCCGCTCGCAGCGCAACGCGCCACAGCCAACCCCGCCCCGCCCCTGCTCGGCTGCGGCCGGCCACCACCCCCAAAATCGGTCACCGCCCTTCCCCGCTGCGAGTGCGGCGGCCTGCTGCTGCCACGGCATGCGCAACAGCTTGCTCGGCCGCCCCGCTGCGGCGCCGCACCTGCGCCCTGTTTGACAGCAGGTCAACCGCCGCGAGCGTGACGCCCAGCACCGCCGCCAGCGCGCGCTCGACCGCGCCGCTGCACGCGCCGCACGTCATGCCCTCCACCGCCAGCGTGCACTGCTCCACGCCTGGGTGGGCGCCGCGCGCGCGCACACATGGCAGTGGACGTGAGAGGCGTGTCAACCGTGAGGGAATGTGCAATCTCAATGACCCGGGCGCAGCTGTTGCGCCCCTAGCGCCGCCCTCGGCTCCCCCAGCCAGCCTACAGGCGCGCTTGGCGGGCACCCTGCCTCCGACCCCCAGCCGGCGGCGCAGCAGCGGGACGGGGCCCTAGCCGCACCCGCGACGCTGACGAGGCGCGCCTCGAAGCCGATGTCGTCCACTGCGGCGAGCAGCTGCTTGACGGACGCCTCGTCAGCGTCGAAGACGACCTGCGGGGGCCACAAGGGGCGCGAACCGGGAGCGGCTAAGGAGCATGGCCGGCCGGCGTGGCGCAGCGCAGCGGCAGGCGCGTGCACACTATCTCATGCGCGCGGCCGCGCAGCCTGGGGCTGTGGATGGCGACGGCCTCAAAGGGGCTCGTCGTGCCGAAGCGACGCGTCTCCATGCACATGCTGGGCGTGGGGGCAGGCAGCACTCTGTGGCATGACGGTCAGCCGCGCGCCGCCCCCGACCCAACACTACTCACCTCCGCCTCGCCCTCCGCAAGTGCCACCCCCGCCCGCGCCACGCCCGGCACCGCCGCCAGCGCCCGCTCGACCGCGCCGCTGCACGCCGCGCACGTCATGCCGCCGACCGCCAGCCGCACGACCTGCGGCGGCCGCGCAGCGCCGAAGCTGCCGCCGTCGACGTCGCGCGCGCCGGGGCCCTGGTCGCCGCCGCGGCGCCGCGTGACCTCCAGCAGGCGCGCCTCGAACCCCGCGTCCTCGACAGCGGACACCAAAGCGTCCGTTGATATGAGGTCATCCTCAAAATCGATCTGGAAGGGAGGAGGGACGTTCCCGAGAGGACATATAATATAACCAAGGCGGCGACGCGGGCAGGAATCGATCATGCTGCCCGCATGCGAGGCAGCAGCGGCGTGGAGCCGCGCATGCATTTTGCAGCAGGCTGCTGGGAGCTGCATTTGCAGCAGTCATGCGGGCCGCGTGCTGCTATTTGCCGCTGACAATCGCGGCCCGCTGCCGCAGCAACGGCATGCAACAGGGCCCCACCTCTGCGGACTGCTGCAGCAGCGCGGCGCGGGCCTGGGTGACTCCCGGCAGCGCCCTGTGCGGCGGCGGGGGTGGGGGGGGGGGCGCTGGTTGATGCGGGGCGAAGCATGCGTGCCGCGTCGTTGTCGGCGCCAGGTTCCCGGTGATCCATGCGGGTCTTCCGCCGGGGCCATGGCGGGGATGGGGATTGCCCAATGAATGCACACCAATCACACAGGAGGCCAGCCGCAAGCGGCGCCCTCACCCTAGCGCCTTCTCCACCGCCGACGTGCACGCGCCGCACGTCATGCCTTGCACGGACAGCTGCGGCCGCACGAAGGGTCAGGCAGGCGGCATGCAGCGCATGAGCGCAGAGGACAGCGCGGCGTTGGTGCAGGTGCCCTCGAGCAAGGGAGTTGGGATCGCTCTCAAGGCGGGGGGGCTGGGGCCATCCCAGGCGCCGCAGAGGTGCTGCTGGGTCACTTGAGCTGGCTGCTTTTGTGTGTTCCGAGCGATCAGGTTTGCAAACGCACACACACAGTGCAATGATGGTGGCGTCTGAACAGCGCGCGCGTCGCGTGCGCACACCAGTGCAGTGCTACAGGACGGCAGGTCGCCGTTGTGCAGCGGACCGGCTGACGCCGGCTGCCCCGTCCGCGCCACCATCTCCGTTCCAGCCACCGCTGTGTATCCCTGCTGCGCCTTCGCGAGTCGCTTGAGGTGCTCCATGTCCTCGAGTGCCGCGAGCACGCCTCGCGTGCCCCTCTTCGTTCCTCTGCGAGGAATATATAGACTAATTAAAGCTCATGGCGGCGTGCCTCCTCGATATGAAGCGCTAGTGTCTGTCTTGGTAAGTGTGAGGTGGGTGTGATGCTTCCTACTGCGCTCGGATGTAATATTTCTAGGCAATGCGTAGTGTGTTTGCTGCTGTCAGTTTGGATACACGTCGTTTGAGTCCCGAGGCAGTCACCGAAGTACTGGATCGTGCACACGCGCGGCTATCTGGGGTGTGCACCCGATTGATAATCTTACAACCATGATAAGGTTGTTGAGAGCGTGGCAGAGCATGCATCCGGCTGCTTGCTGTGGCACGAGGCGCCGGCATGGTCAGCCTTCATGGCGTGAGGACGGGTGACAAGCGCATGTGCCTGTCCGGCGATTGGGCCTGGCGCTCTCAAGAGGCTGGTCGCACATACGTGCTGGTCAAGCTGCCTGATTGCGACAGTATTACAAGCGTGGCGGGCGACATGCGCTCCTGCACTGATTGCAAGGTGGCGGCGGATGAGCGAGCTTGGGAGGCGCAGCCCACTGGCGATGGTGCACTGCTCCGTTCGTTGTGCTCAATTCACGCAAGGACGCACGCATGCTTTGTGTGTGCGTGTGTGTGTGTGTGTGTGCGCGCGTGCGCGCACGCACACGCGCAGATAACCGGTGTGCGCAGCGGGCGCCAGGCGGGGGCTGTGGCCAGGCAACACGTCGCAGTGCAGCCATAACTTAGTAGACATCACCATTGCAAGCGCCAGTGGCTCTTGCAACCAGGTGGCCAACAAGTGTATAGAGGGGCTGACAAGTGCATCGACATTGCCAATTTAGGACCGCGCTCTCCTTTCAAAACACCTCGCATTTCCCAGGTCAGCTGGACAGGCTGGGAATGCGATTATTTTGCTGTGGTAGATCAGGTCAAGCGGGGGCTGACTTTCATGTTTCTCACTAGTGCATGCGGCCCCGGCTGTTCAAAAAAGGCGTGAATGCATGCGTTCGGTCCCAGCTAGAACTCAGCCTGTAGTACCGTATGAGCTCCTGCTTTCCACATGTCTCACAGCCGCGCTGTGGCCCCGCTTGCAGTAGGTGGAGATCAACAAGGCCGATGCGACAGCTTGCTCCCTCTCCCGCCAGTGGACTTGTTCATCATTGTCGCCATCCTTGCTTGTACTTTCGTGCATCTATAAACAGGCATTCACAGAACAAAACATCCCTGCCTCAGAACATCGTATCAGTGGGGGACGCCTGGGCGGGCCAATGCCCAATTCCGTCCCAATCATCGCCCTGTCTATCGTACGGCGAGGTACTTGGCGCACAGTGAGGTCCCCGCCTCACCTCAGCCCGCCGTCCCTGGTGGGCTGCTTACCAGCTTTGTCGAAGCATTGCGTGCATACGATGATACAATACTTCAGTCGACACAGCGCTCCGAGCCGCCGCTGTTCATGTCCCACAAGAATCTTATCATAGCCTCACAACTGGTGTGCCGGTGGTTTGACAATTAATTTCTTGTCCTGGCCGGCGGCGCCGCACCCGCGGCCCGAGCCAGGTTCCGTTGAGCTTCTCGTTTTGTCAAGGGTCATGCAGTGCGCACAGCGGTAGGCAGCCGACACCCACGGATGCCGACGCCTGCCGTGATGCAAGGTGCATGTCTATCATGCAGGGACAATCCATTTCTATGCCTCGTTCGGTATCAGATGCCTGTGACGCAGCGGCATGGCCCGAGGGGAAACTCGGAGGGCCACGAGGCTCATCAAGTCTCGACTCACCCAAGTGCCCACCCAAGCATCCCACCCAAGGCGGGCTGCGGTTCAAAGTGATGCTTGATCAACGTATACATTGCAGCACCAAGGCTCAACGGGTACCCTCACACCCCGCTGGTCAAACCGTGTCCCAGCACGTCTAGGTGCCTTGAGAGGATGGATGAGCTGAAGAAAGGCGCTTGGACGCCTGAAGAGGTGTGCTAGTGTCCGCGGACAGCGTGGCAGCGGGACACCAATACACTGAGCGCGGGCTCGATCGACGACCGCAGCGTTTCAGCGCCCAGGGCTCACGATCTCTTTGTTTGGTACAGGACCTTCTCTTACGAAGGCTCGTCGAGGCGCTCGGACCGGCGCGCTGGAGCGTGGTGGCAGAAAGGATTCCTGGACGATCGGGGAAAAGCTGCCGGCTGAGGTGCGGAATCGTGCTTGGTTCTTCTCGTGCTGCAGGCACAGCCGCGGTGGGATGCGTGCACCCGGGGCGTGCGCATGGCGCCAGCTGCGGGGTGGCCTGCCATCGGTCATGCAGCGCACCACAACAGGCTGACCGAGCATCTCCCTGCATCCTGATGCAGGTGGCACAACCACCTCAGCCCTGCCGTCAAAAAAGTGAGCGGTGACAAAGCTGACAGTTGTGCAAAAGCATGGTGCTCAGCTCGGGCAAAGCGACTGCAGGGGGACCACCGTGGTCAACAAGGCCGGCCTTCCTCTGCGCACGCCAACCCCACGCACCCACGTCCGATGCACTTTTGCCCTCCAGGCCCCCTTTTCTGAGTACGAAGATGCTGTCATCTTGAAGGTGCGCTTGTGCGAACCTACCGAAAATCCAAGCACCCCTGGGCTTTCCGAAGAACAGCACCGCGACTGCGGCCCGCCGAGACGCATGCACCCCAACAGAATGCAAGGCGCCGCGGCGGCGGCGGCGGCGGGCACACATATGCAGCAGCCCCTCAACGACCCGGCCCTACATATCAGCCACCTCTGCCCTCCTCTCTGTGCCGCCCCCAGGCTCACGACATCCACGGCAACAAATGGTCGGGTGAGGCCCTCGACGAAGCGGCCGCGCCTGCGCTCGCGCCAACATGCTGAGGCGTGCGCGCCAAGACGGCGCGCCGCGCGGGAGCCGCCCTTTGCTATGCCACGACGCCGGCGCCGTCCCTGCCGCTGCACGGCCCGTCACCAACGCCCGCCGGCCGCCGCCCCGAATCCCACAATGCAGTGATTGCGAAGCTCCTGCCAGGGCGCACCGACAACGCCGTGAAGAACCGCTGGAACTCCACGCTCAAGCGCAAGGCGGGCACCCAGGGGCTGCGCAACAGGTGCGGCGCGGCCGCTCGGACGGCGGGCCGCGAGCCGCCTCCAGGCCTATGCGGCGCCTGACAGGATGCGGCGCGTGGCCTGCGCTGGCGTGGCAATGGCACTGCCGTGCCTGCGACAGCGCGGCCGTCTGGGTGTCGCCCATCGTCGGCCAATTCCAGAATCGGTCCCCGCGCCGCCCCCTGGAATGCGCAGGTTCCTGTCGAGGGGGGTGACGCTGGACCTGCTGCTGACACAGTTCGCGCACCATGCGCACGACAACGCGGCGGCATCCGGCCACCACGCCCACCGCGGCGGCGCCGCCAGCCCGTGCGACAGCGACGACAGCGGCAGCGACGATATGGAGGATGTCACGCCGAGCGGCGGCAGCACGGGGGGCGCGGGCGGCGACGGGTCCGCGGGCTCAGGCGGCAGCGACGACGAGGGCTCGTCGCCGGCGGCGCACGGGCATTACGGGTATGCTCACGGCGTCGCGGTCGGCCTCGGCGCCGCGCACGCCGGCGTCGCGGCGGCATACGGCGCGCCCGCCTACTGCTACGGCGCTGGCGCGTACGGCTACGCTGCGCCGCAGCAGCAGCTGCCGCACCTGCGCGTGCACGCGCTCGCGCACGGCTGCGCCGGCGCAGGCAGCGCGGGCACCACTTACAGCGGCGGCGACGACGACGACTGCTGCGACACGCTCGACGCCATGCATTTCATAGGCAGCGTTGGCGCGAGCGCAGGCGCGATTGCGTCGGGGTGCAGCCCCGTGACTCAGGGATCCCCTTTCTTCGGGGGCGTGGCGCCGCCGGCTGAACCTGAGGACCCCAATTCGCAAGACAGCATCCAGACGCTGCTGGATGATTTCGCCGCAGCGGGCGCAGCCGCAGCGGCGGCGTCGGCCGCCGCTGCGGCCGCGGCGGCGAGCGCGGGCGGCTTCGAGGACGTGTGCGGCGGCATTGTTGTCGGCGCGGCGGCGGATGTGGGTGGGCACGACGCCGCGTGGCGGGCGGCGGGTTGCAGCAGTTCTTTCAGCTCAAAGCGGGAGCTGGCGGGCGACGAAGCAGACGGCACTGCGTCCCCTCTGAAGCGGCTGCGGATCTGCGGCAGCAGCGGCGCGTTTGGGGCCGGCGCCGTGGCGTGCGCCGACGATGAGCTCCCGATATGCTACGCCGACCAGCGGGCCGGCGGCTGCGGCGATGCCGGCGCGGCGGCGGCCGCGGCCGTGCGGCAGCAGCAGCAGCAGCAGCACGCCGAGGCGCAACCGGCGTACCAGTGGGGCTTCGCCGCAGGCGCGGCCGCGCCGCGGGCGGAGGCGGGCTGCGTGGGGCCCTCGGAGGACGGCCAGGCCGGCGGGGGTGCAGGCGCGGGAGCGGCCGGGGGCGCGGCCGGCGAGGCGGGGCCGTTTGATCTTCTGGACGCGCTGCCGCTGAGCGTGCGCAGCTGCCTGGTCGACGCGGCGGCGCTCTACCTCGCGAACGACGCGAGCGGGCTTGCCGCGTGAGAGCCGGCGGCGGCGGCGGCGGCGGCGCGGCCTGCCGCACAGAGGCGCCATGGCGCGGCGCCGCACGGGCCGCCGTCGGCAAACGGGCGCCGCGGGTCGTGGCGCCCTTGATGCCCGGCGGGGCCTCTCCTTAGCCTGTGCCGCGCGGGCTCCGCCCGCCGACTACCCATCACGTTTCCGCATAAACTGACCGGCTCATTGTCTGAATACCGTTGACCGCTCTCAGAGCACCCACCTGTGCCCCGCGCCGCGCCAGCCGGCGCCCACACACGCACTCGTCTGCCGCGCGCAGACGTCACCGGGCGCGGCTTGCGGCCCCTTGACTGACACACCAGCCCACAGGGTTGTTGGTTGGTGGCTGCGCGGCCCTTTGGTGCAAAGGGCCGCGGCGCTTTGACCCCGACATCCTCCCTCCCACACGCATCCACGCCGCTCTCAACGCCAGGGGGAGGAGCGCCGCGGGCGTGACGCCCGCGCCCGCGGTGCGCCTCCGCCGCCACCCCCAACAAAAACCCTCCTCGTCTTCCTTTCACCCGGGGCGCGTCTTCCGGACGCCGACGCTGACATGTCACGTTTTCCGCTCAGCCTCGGTTTCGTGCTGCTCCGGCGCTCCATCAGGCTCGCTCGCCCACGGCGCATACAAACATAAGGCAGCCAAGCTGCCTCAAGCCGACTGACAGCGCGCACGTACCACGCGACCGCTGCGCGCCGCGCCGCGCCGTGCCGGCTGATCCCCGCCGTGCCCCATCGCGTCCGTGTGCGGGCCCTCTTCTACTTCGTCCAGCCGAGGTGGCTGCTGCACCTTGGCGGGCGCGTGCATTTCCCCCTGACGCTTTGTTTGCTCACCCAGAATCCACCGGCGCGCCCGCCCGGCCGACCCTACCCGTCCGACCCTGTCAGTATGTGTTCCGCGCGTCTCAGCGCGTGCGCGCGGCGCTGCTCGTCCTCCTTGGCGCATCTTCCCTGGGGCCAAAGGGACTGAAATATGCGTGACCAGCACTGCAATTATGGACCGTCCCCCGGTCAACCCACCATATCGCAATACCGTGCAACTGCCCGCGCTTCGCCGCGCGGCCAGGCATGCCAAGCGGGCGCCGCTCCTGCGGATGCGCACACGCACCCTTGCGCCAAGCGGGGCTCCACGCGCCGCCTGCTCCTGCATCATAGACGTGCACGCCTGCCGCCCTGTCGCCGGGCCGTTTCCAAAGGCGCGCGGCCATGCGCGGCACGGGGCGCGGGGCCGGGGCAACGGGGCAGCAGACGGCTGCCCACCAACACCGCGCGCGCCAATGCCGCGCCAGGCAGGGGCTCAGTGCGCGCTTTTTAGTCCCGGCTACCCCGGCACTGCTTGTTTTGGAACCTTTTTCTTTCCATTGTTGACCTGCCATGCAGCCCCCGACCCGCGCTGAGGGGTACTGATGCGAAGCGCCGCTGGCCCCGCCCCAGGCTGCATGTGATGCGCACACAAACATATCTGCAGCACCCTACCTCTGTAATCACGCAGAAATCCACGCGCGTGCGCACACACACACACACACACACACACACACACACACACTGACGACAGCAGTGAGGCCGTACCACTCCCACACAAACAAGAGGCAATACGTATCGCGCCCAACATGACCCGTTGTGGATGCGGCGATGACGACGGTTGCAAGCATGAGGCGCAGTGCACCCGCAGGCGCAGGGGCAGTGGCAAGGGCAGGACAGGGGCAGAGGTCAGATCAGGGCGATGCTGGGCCCGCCGCACGCACCAGCCCACCGTTTGCACAGGCCGGCAGCCTCTGCGCCTGCCCAGCGGCCGCTTGCGGGACGGCGGGCCCCCTGGTGCGCCCACCGCCGCACTGGCAGTCTGTGTCTGCCCTTGCCTGCAGCTTTGCCCGCTGCTGGCTGCCCCAGCGCAACTGACTGCCGCACCACGTGTCCGTTCACGTGGACAGCAGCAGTCTCTGCTGGCCGTGCGGCCAGGCGTTCCATGCTCGGCCATGCATCACCGCTTGCATCTTGCATTTGCCACGTTTCTGGTGTTTTCAGGTGCGACGCATGGCCCCGGTTTCCTGACTGTGCAGGAACACGACCAAGCGATGCATCAGGGCAGGACAGATGCGTTACTCCATTGCATGCTGTGGTTTTGTCACAGCCAGGGACCACTCTGGGCCCACAACGTGTGCATGGCCCCCACGCGCACAGGTCGCGTGGGGTTCCCCTCGGGCAGCAGGTGGTGCAGGGGGGCGCCTCCTGATTCAAACTGCGCGAATTGCGCTGCGGCAGCACAAAGGACGGCTCTCGGGCAGCGACGGAGCGTCGGACCGGGCGCACGCGCGCACTTGGCGCGAGGCGGCCTGAGCACGTCACCATGCGCGTGTGCAGATGCGAGGGGTCAGCGCCTGACATGTGGCGCCGAGCAAATTTGTGCAGGGCGTGACGGCTCATCACGAGACCAGAGTGCAGCAGCACGGGACCAAAGAGGGGCGCGGCGCGCACATAAGGGGGCGCGGCGCGCTGCGAGTCGTGGCTGTGGCGGTTTTTTCAAACCCTTTTCTTTGAAGGGGGAAGGGGGGCGGGCGGTCTTTGTGCAGACCGCCATGTGGGCACTGGACAATCTAAGAACAGGGGGCCGGCCAGCACTGCAGACGCGGCGGAAGCCGCGCGGACAGAGGGGCTCCTGGCGGGGCCGCCGGCGCCGGCGGCTGTGCAGAGGAGGGGCAGTGGGCTGCCTCCCGCTTTTGAGTTCAGCTGGTACGGGCGCCGGCCGCGCCGCGGCAAACGAGCAATCCATGTTTCCAAAACGGCCCCGGAACGGGGGGCCGAAACATTTCAGGTACCGAGCTGCCGCGGGCGTGGCGCCCGCGGGACAGGGTATGCGGTCGGTCACGCGCCACCAACACACGCCAACGTCGGTCGTGGCAGCCGCTCTGCTGCAGTCACCGTGACTACTCTGGTGACTGTGAACTCACACGAGACACCGGCCGCGCGCGCAGGGGCCTCTGGGCTTTTGGCACGCCACGAGGCCCTCTGCCGCTGCGATGCACCCTCAAAACGACTGCAACCTCTCCACGTGCGAACACATGGGAGCCGCCCGCCCAGCGCCGAGTGCGAGGGCGCGCGGGGCGCCGGCGTGACAACGTCCCCGCCGCTCGCGGTACGAACAACCCCCGACCGGCCCAACAACTCCAACGCCAAAAACCGCGACCTAAACGCGGCACGCGCCTCTGGAAGGCCGAGGCAAATCCAACCCATCCGAACCCTCACCGCGTCGCCGCGTGCGCCGATTTCGGCGCCGAACCGGCCCCGGCGCCCTCCGCCCCGCCCCCGCCCCCGACCTTCCCATCGC